CAGTCTATTTACCCCAGATAATAAACCCTTATTCTGACTTCTCTCAATGAAGGTTAGTTCTGCCTACGCTAGAAAAGAACAGAAACAGAATCTTACAGAATGTACTTTTCGGTGTCTGGACTCTTTCGTTCAACCTCATCTTGGACATTCTTCCGTGTTTCCACAAGTTGCAGAGGATTGTCTTTTTTTATTGATGGCAGTATCCTATTCCATGAATGTGATGTGATATATTTACCCACTGTTGTGCTAATAGACACTGAGTTAATTCCAGTTTGGAGCTACTATAAAGAAAGCTATTTTGAACACCTTTTTCCATGTGTGATCTCAGATACAGGCTGACATTTTTCAAGGATATACAGCTTAATGTCCTCAGGCTCCAGGACCAGGCAGATGCCTAGCTTTAGAACATATGGTAAACATTTCAAGGTTTTGAAACAATTTATCCTCTCACCAAAATATATGGTAGGTCTAGTATACCACTTCCTCATGAACACTTGGAATTTTCAGGACTTTTAAAAAATTCTGGTAGGGACAACTAGTAATCCATTGTGATTTTAATTTTTATTTCCCACATAACTAAAAATGTTGAGTACCTTTTTTCATATTTATTGACTACATGGATATTCTTTTCTGTGAAGAATTTGCTCACACGTTTTGCCCATCTAACAAAATATCTGAATGGAAATCTTTCTTTTTACTGATGTAAACAGATGTAAGTCCGTCATTGGATTTATTCAGTGTAAATATTTCTCCCAGACTCTGGCTAGCTTTTTGATGATATTAAATGATATCTTTTGATGAATAGGAGTTTTAAAATTAATTTAAATAAAGACCAATTTGTTGATCTCTTATAATTAGTGCTTTTTTGTTCTATTTTGTTAAAACTCTGTCAAGTTCAGGATCATAATGACTTTCTCTTATGTTTCACAGCAGAGGCTTTATAGTTCTATTTTTCATACTTTTGTCCATGATCCACCTCAAATGAGTGTTTGTAAGCAACTCATAAGGAGCAAGTTGATGTTTTCCCAATATCCATTTCATCTAGCATTAAGATTATTCTTTCCAGCTAAATTAAGTGGCACCATCACATGGTCATATAGGTGTGAGTCTGTTTCTAAACTTTTTTCTATTCTAGTGTATTTCAAGCTGTTATTCTTGTGCCAATACCATATTGTCCAAATTATTATAGCTTTAAACTAAGTCCTCATATCAGGTGTAAGTCTTCTACCTTTATTAATCTTTCTTTCTTGATTATATTAGCTTCTGTGTATTTCCACACAAATTTTAGATCAATTGATCAATTCAGAAGATCTGATATTACTGACAATTCATTGAATCTCTACATTGGCAGAACTGACACTTAAACAATACTGATTTTTCTAAATTTATGAACAGGGCATAACTCTATATTTGGGTATAATTTCTCCCAGCAACATTGCAAAATTTGAAGTATTGAAGTGTTTCACATGATTCATTAGATTCAGCCCTAGATATTAGCAGGGAGTGGTTAGCTTATTTTAAATGGTTCTTTTATCAATATCATTATTTAATTATTTGATCTTAGTACAAAGCAGTACAATTCCTTTTTTTCAATTCATTTCTTTATTAACCTTGTAGCCAGTTCTCAAGGTCATTCTACTTTGTCATCAGCAGTGTACTTCTATTACACTCTCAAATGTAACATTCTCAAGATCTAAGGAGGACATGCTTAACAGTTTGCTTTCTTTATTTTTGCTTAGCAGCTCCTTGGAACTTACATAAATTTTCTATTCTTTCTCATATATGTCCACTAAAGACCACTCAATTAGCTTAGTGCTCATCTAATAATTGGACAGATATTTCCTTAGTAGTTTTAGGAATCAAAACAGCACCTACTGTTTGCAAGACACTTTATATATATATATGTTGGAGCATGCCTTCAACATGCATCCAGACACTTAATAGTTCTGCTGTGTCCTTCACTTCCGTCTTGCACAGAACCTCCAGATTTGCCAGAGGTGAGAGTTTAGGGTCTACTCCAGTCTTTTCAGAGCATTTGTAGATTTCTAATGTCTCAGGAGGGCTTCCCAGGTGTTGCTAGTAGTAAAGAACCTGCCTGCCAAGGCATAAGACACAAGAGATGAAGGTTCAATCCCTAGATTGTAAAGATCCCTGGAGGAGGGCATGGCAATCCAGTCCAGTATCCTTGCCTGGAGAATTCCAAAGACAGAGGAGCCTGGCTGGTTATAGTCCTTAGGTTTGTACAGAGTCAGACACAACTGAAGTGACTTGGCATGCACCCACACTAAGTGTCTCAGGAATTCATCAGGTTTTCAGAGCCTTCCATGAATATCTCATTCCTCAACTTTTCCTTTTAAGCTTTTTCGTTAGTGTACTGATTTCTATAGCTTTGGGCATCTACAGTATTCAAAAATTGCCCCTGATTGTTTTCAACAAATGTGTCTGTGGAAAGGCTGCTCATACTGGGAAAGTTCTGAGTCAGATCAATCCTGAATGTAGTCTTCCACAGGGACCACAGGCAGGTCAAATAATAATGATTCTCTGGGAACAGGGTTTTGAAGGAGTTCCAGCTCCACTCACTGCCTCCTCTTTGTGGCTGATATGTTGTTGATGCTTTTCACCATGATTATAGTCTGTAGCTTTTCAAGGCTACCTCAAAGCTGGGAAGATAGAAGGGAATAAGGCAAAACATGACAAACCTCACTGTTATTACTGAGGTTTATCCATTTTCCTGAAGACACACTCTGCAGATTGATGCATGTCTTGGCTAATGGCCAAAGATCTGAAAAAAACAGACCTGATAATTTTTACTTGTGCTTTCATTGTTTTATATCAGAGAGATTAGAAGTCATTACTCCATACTGCATTTGCTGACATCTTTCAGTCTAATTTTGAACGAAAGTAATGAAAAGTGGATACTCTTACTTTTTTCAAACTTACAGGGTTCAATATTTCACCATTAATGAAAATAGTTTCTAGGATTTGGGACTTTTTTTTTAAGAATTTTTCTCAATTTACAGAGAATGTATATCATTAAAAAAATGTTGACCATTATCAAACTTCTTACATTTACTGAGAAGGTCACTTGTTCCACCAGATAGGTTAGTCTCTATGCTACACATTGTACATCAAATAATGCAATGATAATCTGGGGTTCTGGGTGACATTAGTTTTCTCCAGCAGAAAGTATGTTCCAGCAAGCAAAAAATGTTTAGGGGTGAATCAATGTAACTTAACCAATGTTTAAAATTACTTAAAGATGAACTCTAGTCTTATAACTACTCTTCAATTTCAGGTTAATTCTTAAGGTTTGTTTGCAGATCTTCATAACCTTCAGGCTTCAGCTGAAGTTGGAATATTTACTTGATCCTTCTTACTTGGCAAGCTCTAGATACCAACTTATTTTTTTCTCCAAGCAGTAAGAACATCAAAAAATTTTTTTGGTTCTAAAGCTCCTACATGACATTTTATAGCCACCCCTTCAGACTCTCAGCTCTTGATTTCAAATCAACAATCACTTCAAAGGTAAAAGCATATCAAATAACAGGCTTCCTAATATGGATTTCCCAAACCCTCTGCTTTCTTGTCCCCAGAAATCCTCACAATTTTGAACACTCTTCCCTGCTGACAAATATATATGTACATAGGCATATGTTTGTGTGTGTGTGTGTGTGTGTGTGATGAGCCAGACAGAGGAAGAAAATATAGACATAAATATAGATGTTATATCAAAGAGTTTCTGGTCATTGCAATTATATATTATTTGTAGATGATAAAATTTCCTACTTGAAAAATCCATGAAAGCTAACTAAAGTTACTAAATCTACCAAAGAATTCAGTTCTCAGCATATAAAAGGATTTGATCAAATAGTCTTTCTATTACAGTCATGACAGAAAAGTAAAGAAATATACACTTTTTAGGGCATTATTCTTCAGTATTAATGAAAAACAAAAATGCACATTTATATGCAGACACTTCACTTCTAGCAAACTATCCCAAAGAGATAGTACAGGAATAATAAAAGATATATGCAGGTAGAAGTATTTCTATATTAACAAAAGTTCAAAATTAATCTAAATATCCTTGAACACTAAGATAATTTTTAAGATGATTATAGGCATGAAATATGGTATTATGAAATACATTTATTTATATATAGATTGTGAAAGTATCTGTTGCTATTGTCTAATGTCACCAAGAAGTCAGAAATCAGAGATATATTATAAATAATACATATATACACACATACCCACAGAAACACACATGCATATTTCTATGTGTGTTCAAATATAACCATAAATACATATTATTTTCCTTCTTTTTTGCTTTAATATGTCTGTATATCTGTAATTAGGTCTATGTGTGGGTCTGTGTTTAATAACTAGGGGAAAAGAGAAAGGACAGCCTTGAAAATAACTAGCAAATGTAATTTTTATCTCATGTTATTCCCTCTAGCTGGGGCAATCTTCCTCTGCTTTCTTCCTGCATGTATGTATGTATGCATATATATATATATATATATATGTATATATAAAAACATATACACCACACATATAATTACACTTTAATGAACACTGAAGAAAACAGAAACTATACATGTCAAACTGTCAAGAGATTACTCCCCTGAAGAGATAATAGCAGTAAGAGATGAGTACATTATACATATATATATTTTAACGTGTGATAATGTTCTACTCTAATTTTTTTAAAAAATCAAAATATGACATCTGTAGGGTACCTTTCCACTGTAGATGAGATACAGCTTAAGATTTCAGGATAGAATTACAAAAAAACATTTTATTGAAGGCAAAACAGTGAGCTGTATTTCATGAAGCAAAACTTGAACTGAATCTTAAAGAAAATCAAAAGAGACAGGGCTCAGGAATGTCACTCCTGACATTAGGGAGAGGTGGACCATAGCTAACAGCAAGGGCAAAGACCATCAGCTTGTGTAGATAGAGGGGGAGAGGCTCATTGCAATCTGGCAGCAGCCCTTTCTTCATATTGGAATGAAACAGACCTCGTAGAAGTGTGGTATAGAGCCCACCCCTTTCAGAAGTGGTGTAGTGTCAATGTTCTTCGAATCAGCCAGAGGTTTCAAGGTAAAATGCTGTAAAATGCTGACCAGGAGTAAAAACAGCTCCATGCGGGCCAGGCCTTCTCCAGCACAAACTCTTTTTCCTAAAAATGACACATAAATGAAATATCTATATAACTCTCATTTGAACTAGTGCACCAGGAGGTGTAGATAAATATGAAATGAAAGAATAGAGTAAATAAATAAACTAAGGGAAGACCAAATAACCAATGGCTTCTCTTATTTACACCAAAATCTGGTCTGCTTCATTCCCTCAGAACATATTTCTGTGTACATTCTATTTAATATATTTTTTTAAATCTGTTCTATACACCCATGTTGAAATTGCTTTCCTGAGGTGGCCAGTGACATTTTTCTACACTCACAAACACACACAGATACGCACACACACAAACATATACACACACAGACATATATAAACACACTCGCTCATCCCAATCAGCATGAGACACACTATATGTTCTCCATCTACCTCCAACCTAAGTCTCAACAAAAGGTTTAATACTCCCTGTCTGATTTCTAAAAATAATCTTGACCTGCCATGTCCCTGTTTTAACACTATTTTAAGAGTTTACCACTATCAGGTATAAAAAGAAATGTCACAATCTAGACACAAGTATTACTACATGCTCACCAATCCCCAGACACATAAGCTATTTCAAGTGTCAGGAATTTCCAGTCATTCCTCCACCTGAAATACTCCGCTCTGCCAGCTGAGATTCTCTACATCCTTCTAGATCCACCGCAGGTGTCATTTATTCTATACAAACTTCTTTGATCTATTCAGGGGGATATAATTTACTCCCTCACTGGTATTCCACAAGACTTATTAATGCTTCTAATACAGAATATTTCACATGAAATCATAATTATTCCTCTGTCCCACACACTGGAATATAAGCTCATAAGGTAAATCCTTAGATCTTATAATGGTAGCACAGTGTCAGGACAAAAGCAATCCCACAAACCCTTTAAACTGGGCAGAAATCTTGAGCAGGCTCATTATGCAACAATGGACCCAAAATTCAGGAAGAAGATAAGGAGATTAGCAGGGTCTCTCTATGCAATCACCTCTGGACATTGTTCATACTCTGGGGATGTTTCTCCATCTTCCCAGATCCATTCTGTTTGTTTTTCTTTTGCACCTACTCTGTGTTTAGGAAGTTGATTTCTTTGGAATGCATAGCTCCAGTAGTTAGTTACCTTCTTCACTGTGAGTAAACTCAGCAGATTAAACATTGAGAAGGTTAGAGTATGTCTTCCCTCAGCCCCAGCCTGGCAGGCCACAGTTTCAGCAGTGGCTGTATTCTCCAACCTACAGACCCATCTCCTGCTGAGGCATCCATTCTCTCTTTGCTAAAAATCTGCTTGAGTTTCAGCAACACCCTCCGTCTCCCTACCCTTCCAACATAGGATGGTAACATCATCCTGCTGATGCCATCCCTGAGTACTTGACCACTCCTTGCCACTTCCCTTAAACATGTCCACACCTCTGAAAACCGTCTCTTCATTAAACTGTCTAAAGTATGCTACCTCTTTCTTTCAAGGACCCTAACAGATTAAAGGAAGATACTAAATATAAAATACTTCTTCCTGCAAGAAAACGTCTTTTGTTCTCCAACTACTCTGCCCTCTGCCCTGTCCCTCAAAATGCAAGATTCAGGAGCTTCTCTCTCTGGGGCCAAAAGAAGCCCTTTGAAGAGTATTTTCTCTCTGGAGTATCCTTGCCTTTAACCTGCATTCCTCTTTCTTAGAGGAAGGATGCATCTGTTACTCACATTTGTATCTCTGGACCTGAGCATGAGTCTACTACATAGAATGTATGTAGACTTCATTGAGTGAATTGACTTCTCAGGGCAGGGGAGAAAAGTCTCAGTGGAACTAGACATTTAGGAGGAGCTCTTAGGATACTCAGCAGTGTGTCAGAGAGCAGAAGTCAGGAAATACAGCCTCCAAACCAGTGAGAAATTATCTGCACTTTGGGAGTCGTGCCTCTGGCCTCATGCAAATGACAATTTGTCCAGCCCAGACTAGCCTCCATGCAAAGCCCTTCCTTCTCTCCTTTCACCACTGATGTACAGACAAAAATGAAGCATGCTTGCCTGCTGAAAAAGCCATGAAGTAGTCACTCTTCTTAAAGTTACCACTTTTATCCAGGAAGTGACCAGGATCAAACTGCTCTGGGTTGGGAAACTCCTTGCCATCGTGCAGGACAGAAGTCAGAGATGTTAATATGGTTGTGCCCTGAGATAAAGACAAACAGATTAACGGGATTATAAAAATGGTCATGGAGCTTGAAAAAAAAAAAAAAACCTTGTCTAGTTCTGTCCTTTTGTAGATGAGATGACTGAGGCACATACAAAAAATTTATTCTTTCCATGTCAGAGAACAAATTAATGACCAAGCCTGTGCTGTAGTCACGCAGTCATGTCCAACTCTTTGCAACCCCATGGACTGTAGCCCACCAGGCTCCTCTCTCCATGGGGATTCTCCAGGCAATAATTATGGAGTGCCATGCCCTCCGCCAGGGAATCTTTCCAACCCAGGGATCAAACCTAGGTCTCCCTCATTGCAGGTAGATTCCTTACTGTCTGAGCCACCAGGGAAGCCCAATGACCAAGGCTAACTGGCCTTAAATCCTATAATGCCGGTTCAGGGCACAGTGAAAACCTGACTCCAAGACCACCATCTTCAGCTTGAAGCCTACCTGCTGCACTTGCTCTCCAGTAAATTAGAGGAGCTGCATTTTTCTTGACAAAAGAAAAAAAAAACCATACTGTTTAAAGGTGCTGATGTCACTGAAAATCTAGCTCTTTCTCTTTGGAATCAAATATGACATCTTCCTCAAAACTACATGAGTGGCCATATTTTTGAAAAGTATTTTCTTATCCTACAAAGATGAGAAACTGGTAAGCATTCCCTCCTCCTGCTATGTTTTTTCAATGTATTTGTTGAATATTCTTCTGGAAATAAGATGGCATTTCCGGTTTCTTGTAAGGTTTTCCTAAACTCAGAGATACCATGTAACATAATGATTTAGTTTAGTTTTCAGAATCAATTGAACATTTCTCTCTACTAAATTAATCTCTGTGACTATAGGCAAGGTTTTTTTTTGTTTTTTTGTTTATTCGGGTTTTTTGTTTTGTTTTGTTTCGTTTTGTTTTTTGCATTTCCATGTCTCATTTCCATCACTAGTAAAATATAAACAGAGAGTTCCCTGGTGTCTAGGGTTCAATCTGTAGCTTAGGTTTAATCCCTGGTTGGGGAACTGAGATCCCCCATCTCTCAGAATGCCAAAAAAAACTAAACTAACAACAACAAAAAAACATAAACAATAAATTTGATTATTTTATTATATAATTAAACAACATGTGAAATATTTTTTAAACAGAAGTTATTACCACAAGTTAAAATGTTCAATATTTTGTTATTGTTATGATAGCAATGATTATATTCACAATATCTAGGGATCATAATAATAGACAAAATTCAAATTCAGTTCCATCTGAATGCCTTCTGGTATGGCCTTTCCAAATACACAATATAGTTCTCACTCCAAAACATCATCAATTGAAAGACAAACTGTCATTTCTATGTGGGCAAATAAATAAAAGAATCAAAATTGCCAGGAGAAGTATCAAAAACCTCAGATATGCAAATGACACCATCCTTATGGCAGAAAGCGGAGAGGAACTAAAGAGCCGCTTGATGAAAATGAAAGGTGAAAAAGCTGACTTAAAACTCAACATTCAAAAAACTAAGATCAGGATATCCAGTTCCATCACTTCATGGCAAATAGATGGGGAAACAATGAAAACAGTATCAGACTTTATTTTTGGGGCTCCAAAATCACTGCAGATGATGATTGCAGCCATGAAATTAAAAGACGCTTACTCCTTGGAAGGAAAGTCATGACCAAACTAGACAGCATATTAAAAGGCAGAGACATACTTTGCCAACAAAGGTCCGTCTAGTCAAGGCTATGGTTTTTCCAGTAGTCATGTATGGATGTGAGAGTTGGACTATAAAGAAAGCTGAGCACCGAAGAATTGATGCTTTTCAACTGTGGTGTTGGAGAAGACTCTTGAGAGTCCCTTGGACTGCAAGGAGATACAACCAGTCCATCCTAAAGGAGATCAGTCCTGAATATTCACTGGAAGGACTGATGTTGAAGCTGAAATTCCAATCCTTTGGCCACCTGATGCGAAGAACTGACTCATTCAAAAAGATCCAGATGCTAGGAAAGAGTGAAAGCAGGAGGAGAAAGGGACAACAGAGGATGAGATGGTTGGATGGCATCACTGACTCGATGGACATGAGTTTGAGTGGACTCCGGGAGTTAGTAATGGACAGGGAGGCCTGGCGTGCTACAGTCCATGGGGTCGCAAAGAGTCAAACACGACTGAGCAACTGAACTGATCGAGTTGGTGACAATAATATCAACCTGATGAGCTGCATGGTCTTCTAGAAGTGATCAGTAGCTCAAATGCAGGTAGGGAGGAAGAAAACTGTTACACTGGACTTTTGACAAGTGAAACAGATAGGGAGGTGCTTACTGATTAAGTGGTAAGAGTAATAAAACATACACTGGAAAATAGGGAGTGGACAGAGGCTTAATGAACAGGCAGAATATGGGGCTAACAATGTACTGAGAATCCTGTGGGAGTCTAAGCACTATTATATTTATTAAACTGTATTTACAACCTAAAAGGAAAGGAGCATGTGGTCAGAGGGTGAAATACCTGAGACACGACTGTGTAATACTTGTAGACAGTTAGGCAATCTATACATCTACTGCTGTGATAGTTGAAACCCAAGAGTCTTAATGAGGAGTATAGATGAAATACCTCTCACCTTGGGAATGAGATATTCTCTGAATTTAATGTCCTGAACTGCCCCATGGGGTAGGTTATTGTGGATAAGGTCAATGTATCTCTGGATCTCCTGGATCACAGCATCTGTGTAGGGCATGCGGCTCCTGTCCTGCATGCAGGGACTCTGGTTTCTGCCAACCACACGGTTAATTTCTTCCTGGACTTTAGCTGGAAAGGTAGAAATCAGAATTTATGTCATGTGATAAATATAATTTTATCTTCTTAATGATGATTACATTGTGGTAGGATATGGAAAGAAGGGAAAATTACATGTGTTTCCCTACAAGGGAAAAAAAGAAACAGAATTTCAGTGTCATGGGCAAATTGGAATTTCATTAGAGACTTAAATACACATACATATAAAACACAGTTGCATCATGAAATTCATTTCTCAATTCTGATTCTCTCCTTTGTGTATTTTTTAAAATAAACTCAGGGATGTGTGATCTCAAAGGCTCACATCATGCAGTTTAATCATTCTGTTTATGTCAGTTTTATTTTATGAAAGTTCTAAGAGAGTAGAAGTACTCCAAGCAGGAAATGCTTAATAAATGGACCAACTGAACAAGATGTTTGGTTGACTCAACACATAGGAATAACAAGTAAGTTAAGGGAATATCCAAGATGATAGAGTAGAAAGACTCTGAGATCCCCTCCCCCCACAAGCATTACAAAATGATAAATACAATGATTTACAGAACAACTATCAATAAGAACAACCTGAAGTCTAAGAGAAAAGTTCTTCAACAAATAAAGAACTAAAGATGGAATCATGTAATGCATAGGAGAAGCAGAAACATGGCACAGTTAAGACCGTACGCCCAAGTAGGAGACCCATGAACAGGACAATTATAATTACAGAGGTTCTCCCCGGGGAGTGAGGGGTCTGAACCCATCACTGGGCTCCCTAACCCACGAGTCCTGCACCAGGAAGATGAGCCCCCAAAGCACTTGGTTTTGCAGGCCAACAGGGCTTATTTCAGATGAGCTACGGAGCTGCGGGAAGTAGAGACTCCACTCTTAAAGAGCGTATACCAAATCTCACCCACTCTGGGACTCAGAAGCAGGAGCAGTAATTTGAAAGGAGCCTGGGACAGACCCACTTGTTGATCTTGGACAGCCTCCCAGAGAGGCACGGGGCAGCTGGGGTTCACCTCTGGAACACATATACCAGTAGCAGCTGTTTTAGACAGCTCATCCCAACACATGGACATGGATGATAGTAAGAGCAATTTTAGAATCTTCCCTCTGGCTTATTTTGCCAGAACCTGGCCCTTCTCATCAGCCAGTTATCACCCATTCTTGGATGTGGGAGGCCAAGCAGCTAGCTGGGCTAGCACATAGTCCTATCCACCAGCATGCCGGTTACTATAGCAGCCCTGAGCCCCAGCTGCCCCTGGACCCAACTCCACTCACCCATTGGGAGACACCAACCCCGGGTCCCCCTGGGCCCCCATCCAGACAACAGGCAGGCCAACTCCAACTCCAGGACCCCTAGGGTCCTACAGCCAGAGAACACAGGATCTGGCTCCCCCCACCAAGATACCCAAGACCCTGCAGCCAGAGAAGCCAGGATGTGGCCTCATACACACAGAAGGCAGGTACTATCCTCAAGACTCCTGGGGCCTGATCCACCAACTAGCAGGCCAACCTCAGCCCCAGGACCACAGCAGTCCTGAAGCCAACCATGTCAAGATCCAGCCTACTCAACAGCAGGTCACACCACTAGAAGACATCTTGGGCCCCAGGCTCACCCAACAGCAAACTCACACACAATTCTAGGAAACCCCAGAACTCTGCCAGCCATTTCAGGAAGAGGCCCTGGACCCAGCTCTAACCACCAGAGGGCCTGGACTAGACTGGGCCTCATAGGGGTTTCATAACCAGCTGCCACATGACCCAGCCCCACCCACCATCACCCAGCAGCTACTCCACAAGAAAAATATATTGAGTACAAATGGAAGTCGAAAGTTGAGGAAACAATTCTTAGACAAAACAGACTTTAAAAACAAAGACTGTGCGGAACAAGAGAAAAAAAAGGACATTACCTAATGATGAAAGAGTCAATCCAACAAGAAGATATAACAATTATAAATCTACGTGCATATGTGCTAAGTTGCTTCAGTCATGTCTGACTCTTTGCAACCCTTTGGACTGTTGCCCACCAGGCTCTTCTCTCCATGAGATTCTCCAGGCAACAATAATGGAGTGGGTTACCATGCCCTCCTCCAGGGGATCTTCCCAACGCAGGGAATGAACCCACATCTCTTATGTCTCACATGACTGTTGATAGGTGAGTTCTTTACCACTACCACCCCCTGGGAAGTCCATAAACATATATACATATAACTGATTCACTTTGCTGTACAGCAGAAACTATTACAACATTGTAAGACAATTAAACTCAAAAAAATAAAAATAAAAGGGTCTTAATGAGTCAAAGCACAAAACATGATATAGTAAAGAAAATGTTCTCTTAGATGAGGACTGAACAAAAAAAAAAGGAGGATGAGAAATTACATATGTGAGGAAAATTTGTTTGCCCAGAAGGGTGTATTTGAACAGAATTTTTGTATATAACTTTTTAATTTAAAGAGTGAGGTTTTTTGATGAAGAAATATTGTGATTTGTTGATTCAATCTTTCCATTGCAAATGCATCTGAGTAGAATTAACTTTGACAAAAGTATATTTATCTCGGCTTGAAAAGCTTATCAAGCAATATCATTGTAGAGAAGATTCATCACCATCTGAGCCATCATGGAAGCCCTACTGCATCTGACCTGAAGCAAATCAAGGATACTCCACCACAGTCAGGAGGGCAGTAATCTCTGCCCTCCATAACTCTGCTGCTGGTTAACTATTTCATTCTCCTTTTTTACTATACTTTAATTTGAATGCAATTCATACAGTGATGGGAAGATGTACTAAGGATGGAAGTTTTTCTAGTACATCTTCCAGGCAGATGAAGAGTAGAAAAGTCATCAGGGTTGCCTGCCAATTTCTAACTGGAATTTCATCCTGTCCATCATCTGTGATACTACCTGTGACCTTTGGGTACTTCAGCAGGAGCAGCAGTCCATATCTCAGAGTGATGCTTGTTGTCTCTATTCCAGCAGTAAGCATATTCCATAGTGTGGTGATCAAGTTGTCCATGGTAAACTCAGACTGTTTATTGTGTTTCTCCTAGCAATAATGTATTAGGATTACTTGATAAGTAAAAGAAACTTACAAGTAACTTAAAATAATTCCATATAACAACATAATTTTTTAAGTTTACTTATTTGACAAATTAAGCCAAACATTAGAGAATGTTATAGATGAAGGTAAAGTTAGATGAGTTGTTAGAATTTCTTCAATTAAAATGTAACCAGAGTTAAACTTCCAACAAGTCCTTTCTGATTCCTCACTTTCTCACCCACTGGAGTAAATCAGTTCTTCAGTCATTTCATTCTAACCTGACACTTATCAAGTCATCACTGCTACTCACCATCAGTTCGGGCATCTATTGTCTATTTCATCAAATCTAAATTTCTCACTCAGGCCTTCAGAACCACCTATCCTCAAACTGAAACACTATTCCCAAATTCATCAGTCATTAAACCCATGACAGTTCCTCAGTTACTAGCAAGACAATCTCTTTAAAAACTCCACACACTTCATCACTGCACTTATCTTTCCCTGAACCAATTTTGTCACCTCTGCTAATTCTCAAAACCTACTTCATCTGTTTCCTACTGTCTTTCCAAGAGTAAGCCTTTCTAGATTCCCATCCATTTCAACCTTCTCTCATTTCTTACATCACCCATTCATGGAATTTATCTAATGAAAGAGAATGTACTGTCTATCACTTACCTTGAATGTGTGGGCGTGTGTGTGTTTCAATCTGTTCTCAAATAAAGAACCAGCTTTAACATGGTAAATATAAAAACTTCCAAGCAATTTTCAGTGACAATGCAGAAATAATTCAAGACATCCAGTACAGTTTTCACAACAATAGGTTGCACAGGCAATGAATATATCTTTAAGAAGGAGCATTTGTTTTAATAAACTGATTCCACTGAGAAGAAACAAAGTTATTCCATGCATCACATCACTCCACATACAAAGATGAAGTAGCAAATCTGGATCCCATTTTACCTTTTCCATTTTAATCATGAAGTAATCAATAAAGTCTTGAGGGTTATTGAGGTCCAAGGATTCTTGGTGTTCCTTTATTTTCTCCAAAATAAACTTTCTTTGCTCAGTCATGTTTTTAAATAATGTATTTTGACTCCCTGGGAGATAATGTAATAAAGAGGGGAAAGCATTGTAGAGCTGAAAAAGAAAAGAGACAGTCAATTCTTTCAGCAAACATTTACAGGCCCATATTATGGTGCAGACATATTGCTATAAAATGAGTAAATAAAGATGAGTAAGATATGCTTCTTGCACTGGAACCCATTTGGGATTTGAAGGAGAGAGAACTGATAAAATGGCCTGAGTGACAGTATGCACAGATTAACAACTAATTTCAAAACCATTTGAAATATTTTCCTACCCATAACTCCGAAGAAATCAGGATCATACCACATCTTTCCAAATGAGGGTACTGAGGTTCAGAAAGGTTAGTCTACCAGTCTAAGACACAAAACTAGTGACAGAGGTAGAATCCAGTGTCTATCCCAGTTTACACTACACACATGTCTACAGAGAGTCACCTGAAAAGTGTGCAGGGATCATACACTTTTTCTATATTCATTTTTATGAAAATATATTAATAGTTGACACATATTATATTAGTCTCAGGTATACAAAATGGTGATTCACCATTTACATGCATTACAAATTGATAGCCATGATAAGCCTAGGAATTATCTGTCATCATACAGTTATTGAAATGTTATTGACTCTATTCCTTATGCTGTATATTACATCCCTGTGATTTATTATGTTTATATCTGAAGTTTATACTTCTTAATCCCTTTTACCTATTTCATTCATTCCTCCACTTCTTCCTCCCTGAGGACCACCAGTTTCTTCTCTGTATCTATGAATTTGTTTCTGTTTTATTTTGTTTGTTTTAATTTTTAGATTCTAAATATGAAGTAAATCACATAATATTTGTCTTTGTCTTCCAGACATTTTTTCCTTAGCATATTTTCTAGGGCTATCCATGCTGTCATAATGGCACAATTTCATTCTTTTATATGGCTGAATAATATTTCTCTGTGTGTGTGTGTGTGTGTGTGTGTATACCACTTCTTTATCCTTTCATCTATCAATGGACACTTAGGTGATTTTGATATCTTACCTATTGTCAACAATGCTACAATGAATATAAGGGTGCACATATCTTTTTGAATAAGCTTCTTTTCTTCAGATAAATACCCAGACGTTTTCTAAAGAGAAGTACCCAGTTAAATCCCAGATCATATAGAAGTTCTATTTTTAACTTTTTGAGGAACCTCTATACTGTGTGCCATAGTGACTGTTTCAATTTTCCTACCAACAGTGCATGAGTATTCCCTTATCTCCACATCCTCCCAACACTTTTTATTTCTTCTCTTTCTTATAATAGTCATTCTGACTGGTGTGAGGTAAAATCTTACAGTGCTCCTATTTGTATTTTCCTGATAATTAGTGTTTTGAACATCTTTCTATGTACCTATTGGTCAACTGTTTGTCCCCTTTGGAAAAAATACCTATTTGAACTTTCTGTCCACTTTTTTTTTTTTCTCTTTTTTTTTTTTTTTTAATTTATTTATTTTATTTTTTTTTTTTATCACAACCATAGTGTATCTTTTTTTTTTTTTTTTTTACATGTATTCCCCATCCCGGTCCCCCCTCCCACCTCCCTCTCCACCCAATCCCTCTGGGTCTTCCCAGTGCACCAGGCCCGAGCACTTGTCTTATGCACCCAACCTGGGCTGGTGAACTGTAAACTGGAGCCCATTATACAGAGCGAAGTAAGCCTGAAAGATAAAGACCATTACAGTATACTAACACATATATATGGAATTTAGAAAGATGGTAAAGATAACCCTATGTGCAAAACAGAAAAAGAGACTCCTATGTATAGAACAGACTTGTGGACTCTGGGAGAAGGCGAGGGTGGGATGTTTCAAGAGAACAGCATTGAAACACGTATATTATCTGTCCACTTTTTAATTAGGGTTTTCTTTTGCTGTTGAAGTGTATGAGTTTTTTGTGTATTTGCAAATATAGTCTATTCAGCAGGCAGGCATTTTGTTTTGTTGATAGTTACCCTCACTGTGCAAAAGCTTTTACATTTGACTAGGTCGCATTCCTTTATTTTTGCTTTTGTTTCCCTTGCCAAAGAAGGCATAACCAAAAAAAATATCAACAAGATTAATGTCAAAGAGTGCACCTCTATGATTACTTCTAGAATTTTTATACTTCTGCTTCTTACATTTAAATCCTTAATCCATTTTGAATTTATTTTTATATGTGGTGTGATAAAGGCATCTACTTTGATTCTTTTGTATGTAACTGTCCAGTTTTCCCAATACCATTGATTGAAGAGGGTGTCTTTTCTACATTCTGTATTCCAGCTTCTTCTGTTGTATATTAATTACCTACTAGGTGTGGGTTCATATCTAGGCTGTCTCTTCAGTTCTATTATGTCTGCTTTTGTGCCAGTACCATACTTCTTTTTCTTTGCTTGCTGTGGCTGGAACTTCCAGTACTATGCTGATTAAAAGTTGGGAGAATGGGCACCCTTGCGTTGTTCCTGATTTGAGAGGAGATACTTTCCAGTTTTCACCAATGAGAATGATGGGAGCTTCTCCTATAGGGGCTTTATTACATTCAGGTATGTTCCCTCTGTATTCACTTTTGAGTTTTTATCATAAATGAATGTTGAATTCAGTCAAAAGGTTTTTTTGCATAACTTTAAAAAAATCATATGATTTTTATTTTTCATTTTTAATGTGATGTATCACATAGATTAGAAGAAGGCAGTGGCACCCCACTCCAGTACTCTTGCCTGGAAAGTCCCATGGACCGAGGAGCCTGGTAGGCTGCAGGCCATGGGGTCGCTAAGAGTCAGACACGACTGAGCGACTTCACTTTCATTTTTCGCTTTCATGCAGTGGAGAAGGAAATGACAACCCACTCCAGTGTTCTTGCCTGGAGAATCCCAGGGACGGGGTAGCCTGATGGGCTGCCGTCTATGGGGTCGCACAGAGTCGGACACAACTGAAGTGACTTAGCAGCAGTAGCATCACATAGATTGATTTGCAGGCACTGAATCATCTTTGCATCCCCAGAATAAATTTTGCTTATTCATAGATTATAATCCTGTTAATGTATTGCTGATTTCAATTTCATGCAAAGATGAGCACAACAAAAGACAAAAAATGTTATGGACCTAAAAGAAGATATTAAGAAGAGGTGGCAACAATAAACAGAAGAACTATACAAAAAAAAAAAAAGATCTTAATGACCCAGATAACCATGATGGTGTGATGACCCACCTGGAGCCAGACATCCTGGAATGTGAAGTCAAGTGAGCGTTAGGAAGAATCACTACAAACAAAACTAGTGGAAGTGATGAAATTCCAGTTGAGCTATTTCAAATCCTAAAAGATGATGCTGTTAAAGTACTGCACTCAATGTGCCAGCAAGTTTGGAAAACTCAGCAGTGACCACAGGACTGGAAAAGGTTAGTTTTCATTCCAATCCCTAAGAAAGGCAATGCCAAAGAATGTTCAAACTACCACACAGTTGCACTCATCTCACATGCTGCAAAGTAATGCTCAAAATTCTCCAAGCAACTCTTCAGTAGTATGTGAACTGAGAAACTCCAGATATTCAAGCTGGATTTAGAAAAGACAGAGAAACAAGAGATCAAATTGCCAACATCCATTGGATCACAGAAAAAGCAAGAGAATTCCAGAAAAACATCTACTTCTGCTTCATTGACTACGCCAAAGCCTTTGACTGTGTGGATCACAACAAACTGGAAAATTCTGAAAGAGATGGGAATAACAGACCACCTTACCTGACTCCTGAGAAACCTGTAGGCAGGTCAAGAAGCAACAGTTAAAACTGGACATGGAACAATACACTGGTTACAAATTGGGAAAGGAGTACATCAAGGCTCTATGTCACCCTACTTATTTAACTTATACGCAGAGTACATCATGGGAAATTCTGGGCTGGATGAAGCACAAACTGGATTCAAGATTGCCTGGAGAAATAGCAATAACTTCAGATATGTAGGTGACACCACCCTTATGGCAGAAAGCAAAGAAGAACTAAAGAGCCTCTTGATGAAAGTGAAAGAGCAGTCTCAGACAAGCACTGGGGTGGCCGACCAGAACTGAGGGATATCATCACTTCCACAACAAAGCTGTCAGACAGAAGCACAACTGTACACCCAGCACTGGGAAAACTTCCTTGTCGTTGACCTGTCTGCTGTCCCCAAACCTGCTTCCTGCCTCTGAGCCCTGCTCTCTAGTGCAGCCCCTCGGCTCAACTGCCCGGTGGCCTAAAGTCTGGGGAAGCCTTCCAACCTGAGAAGTGCAGGGGAACTGGAGGTGACACCCGAAGGCGAAAATGAGAAGGCCATTCTAACTTTTCCCAACATTTCCGGTCATTCCAAATTTGTATAGGAATGCAAGGGCTTTCTGTGAACAGGTGAATTTTTTGGACTCTGAACTTGTGATCGCATCAGAGAGCTTCAGAGCCCAACTGATCTTGGAAGACTTGTCTCCCAGCTCCAATGGAGTACATGGAGAAGTCTTAAGGCTACTATAAGAATAAGACTGAAAACCAGAGGCAGTAGGCTTAAGTCCAAATCCTAAGAACACCAGAGAACTCCTGACTCCAGGAAACATTAATCGATAGGAGTTCATCAAGCACCTCCATACCTACACTGAAACCAAGGACCACCCAAGGGCTAACAAGTTCCAGAGCAAGACATACCACACAAATTCTTAAGCAACACAGGAACATAGCCCTGACCTTCATATACAGGCTGCCCAAAGTCACACCAAACCCACTGATATTTCAAAACTCATTACTGGACACTTCATTGCACTCCAGAGAGAAGAAATCCAGCTCCACCCAGCACAACACCAACACAAGCTTCCCTAGCCAGGAAACCTTGACAAGCCACCCGTCCAACCCCACCCACAGTGAGGAACCTCCACAATAAAGAGGAACCACAAACTGCCAGATTACAGAAGGGCCACCCCAAACACAGCAATATAAACAAGATGAAAAGGCAGAGAAATACCCAGCAAGTAAAGGAACAGGATAAGTGCCCACCAAACCAAACAAAAGAGGAAGAGAAAAGGAATCTACCTGAA